AGATTGAGCTAAATCTTGCTGCTACTCAATTGATTACGTGTTTCAGTCCGCCTAATCATTAGTTGGGTAACAATATTATTAGATCATTTGGCTGATTTTGATCATGTGCACAAATTTAGCTTAATAATAAAAATTAACAAAAATTTGGGATTTTTCTCTTTTCTACTAACTACCTTCTATATTAGAAAAGATTTTACTAAAATATTATATGTTTAAATAGTTTTTATTTAAAACACTGTTAAATATTTATAACATGATAAAACATTTCTTATTTTTATAACTTATGATAAACATTCTTAGTAAAGGGATATGTCTTTACATATATTATTGACAAGCCTTTGGATTTATTCTTTGTATGATATGAAATGGATCATACTATCTTAATATATTACAATCAATATTTAACATAGAACTTTGATCTTAAGAAAATGATCTTTACTAATTTTATTTATATTTGTATTGCTTTTAAATATATTTTAGGTTTTCAAGATATTTTTTTGAAAAGATTTTTATCTAAGATCATTTTATGACAATTACAGAAAATAATATTCTGTGTAGTTTTTTTTTCAAAAAATTTCAGAAATAAAGAAAATGATAGAAGAGTATTTTATAAAAAAAACTATAAATTTATCAAGGATATTGAATCAGGTTTCAACTGAAAACACAAGGGTTTTATGTTTATTTAAAAAGATTGTACTGAAAAAATATCAAAAAGATTGTAATTATCTGCAAAGACTGGCTCTATCACTTTGATTTTAAATTGGTCAAATGGATTTTTGTTAAGCATAATACAAAAACCGTAGTATTTGGTTCAAATATTAACATTAATGATACTAAATTTGGTGAGTTTGTCAAAGACACATTATCGATTGTTATTATCTTTATAGTAAGATATAATAGGCTCAGATTAGCTGAGTATCAAAAATGACAAAGAGAGATTGAAAACATAAAAGATACAGATTTATTCAACATTTGAAGAAAAAGAAAAGCTAAGAAAGTAGATGGAAATCATAAAATAGATATACAATAAAATTTTTGTGATAGTACAGAATGACAAGATTACTAACATGAGCATTATACAAAAGTATTACCTGAATGATAAATGTATTGTAACTGAAGAATAGATAAAAGAGACTTCTAGAGAGATACATTCATATGCAATCTAACAATTGATGAGTGTATCTAAAACAAACAAGAAGTTATACAGAAATAATTTTCAAATGAAGTACTGATAAAAAAAGAATTAAATATAAACTATCTCGATTCTTGGAATTGGAATAAGAATAGAGAACAATATGCATTCTTAAAGAGTATCATCATTTCAGAACGATCACCAGAGATTAATAATACAGTTAACATAACTATGAATCACCTAGGACATTTTTACTTATGTGTTTCAATTCCTTTGAACATTATTGATAACCAAGATGATGTTTGTAAAAAGGTAATCTTGCTAGATCCAGGTGTTAGCACATTTTATAACCAGTTACGATCCTAACGGTCAATTAATTGAGTAGGATAATGGTAATATTGGCAAAGTATTCAAATTATTCAAGAAACATGACAAATTACAGAGTGATAAGAATCTTGCTTTGGAAAGAACAAACAAGAGAAAGTAATTTGATAGATAAGTGCCATCACCAGCTGGCTCGATGGTTATGTCGGAATTACAAGATCATTTTGCTACTCAAATTCAAACATCACATATGGTGCTCAAAAATAAAAGAAAGATCTGATGAGGATGGCTTGCACAATATTGACCTGGTCACATTTCAGATTTCAAATGTTTCTTTTGCACAAGATAAGAAAGTACAAGTATTGCAAGGTCATCAAGTGTACACTTATAAGACACGTAGTTGCGGACAATTCAATGACAAACTGGGTGGTTCTAAGGATTTTTGGTGTTATTCGTGTAAGGTGACGATGGATCAGGATGCAAACGGGGTTACTCAAGTTGTTAACGGAAGGTCAGGTTTTGGCCTGACTTTGGGACTTGAATCTATATGGGATACGATATGACTAACTCTGTTTATTCATATTGGATTCAATTTCAACGGTAAAAGGAATTTCTTACTAAAATTTCAATAATTAAATTTATATTGTGACTATATTTTTTTGAAACGCTAAATTGAACGTGTATCATCGATATTATATATATATATTTAATAAAACAAATTAATACAATACAAATTAATCTATAGGGAGTGGATTAAGGCATTAAAATATACCAACTCAAAAAAAAAGAATTACAGCTATTTTTGATTTTGTATTAAAGTTATTAAATATTTAATATCTTGTTCCATTGACAGAACTTTATTTTGTAACGATTTATCCTCTTGATCTTTGACGTTTTGATCATTGCCATTTGATGATTTGTTCTTAACTCTTTCATCCTCATCAACAAACCAATTTAAAGACAATGGAGCTTGTCGTTCCGTTCTTTGTGAATTGATAGAAATCGAATCAATACTTGAAGCACCACTTGAATTGGAGTATCCATAAGAAAGTTCTTGTGGAGTACGGGGTGTTTGACAATAAATCATTGCTTCTTCGTCATCATCGTCATCATCATAATACCATGAATTACTGTTATCAATTTCAGCCAAGAAATTCTTACGACTTTCCCTAGCTTTCTCGGCTTTTTCTAACCATTCTTCAATATAATCAGATTTTCCAATGAAATAAATATATCGAGGGTTCCCTTTCCTATTTCCCAGAGGTTTATCAATTGTTTCATAATCTGCTATCAATTCTGCTCGATATTTTAATACGGCATGCCTACCATCTTCTTTTGCTTCTTCATAAGCGCCACTGGACAATAAAAATAGAAAAAATTAGGTTGGGTTTAATGATAATGAAAAATGAAAATTTCCATACTTACGTCATGATTGCAATCAGCATGTTCTGCAAAATCGTAACGAGAAGGATGCTAGCAATTATAGAATAAACATCCACAGGCCAGAAATCCCATTGATCCAATTGATCCCAACGTCCACTTGTCCAAAAGAAAACTGCTTCAATAGATTTAACAAAATTTGTGTAATAATTGTCTGACGGTTTATTCACATCAATCTCTTGGTTTATTACATATTGAGAGAATTCTGGTACAGGTATTCCGTTATTATCATAGATTTTGAAGGAAGTGCTTTCTGCATTAAGATTCATATCTGCCGTGTTATTAAGCAAAACAAACCTATCAAACAAAATAATTTATAAATAATTTAAAATTATAATTAAACAAAAACAATAAACTTGAGGTCTGCTTACATGGCATGTCCAAATCCGAGGACGACCAATAGAATAAAGATCAAGAAGGATGTAATTTCTTGCAAGATTTTGACAATAATAAAGATGTAAGCTCCAGCCTTTTCAAAGTACCGTAACAACTATGTAATTGATCAAGTTTTGAACGTTAATAATCATGTAAAATAATTTCTTCTAAAAAAGCGATAAAATAAAAAAAAAATTCAAAAGCTCACCAAAAAAAGTTCCATCCACATTGTTAAAATTGTAAACGAATTAAGTATAGTGAAATTTCGATAAATATGTGGGTTATTTTCCACCATCCCAGATGATTGTAAGGTGGCCGTTATTAATGGCAGTATGACCGAAAACAAATCAAAGAAATTATAAACACTAAGATATCTTTTCCATCCATCATACTTTAATTGAACCCTTTCAGTATTCAATATATAAAATCCCAACCAATAAAAAAACATATATGCTAGAAAAGAATATACATTTAAATAAGCTTCTACTTTTGCTATAACTCTGTTGGATCCTTTAATCGCACTCGTTATAAGAGCATAAGTTAATGCAAATGCAAAATAAACAAATACATGTCTTAAAAAATATTTTCTCGCTGCGTTCCATTTGAAATCAATTACCGCGGCTATTGATGGATTGTCATAAATTGCTGCGCTATTGTCATTCCTTATCATTCTCAAGAATGGGCTCAACTTTTCTTCTCTTCTGATTATATGACCGCGTGGCCAGATTAATAATTTTATGAGTTTAAAAGGAATCTTCCAGTATTCTTCTCGTTTATCATCAATTCCTTCAGGATATACGGTGAAATCCGGAAGTGGCACCATGTAAACTTGGTTAATAAGGGAAGGAGTAGCGAATTCCTTATTCACTAAATTTGAAATTTTCTCCTTTCCACTAATTAAAAAAAAAGGTTCATTTCGTTATTACTGCGTATAACCTTTCATATCATATTAATTGCAATTAATCTTACCTTTGTTTTCCTTGAGTAACTATCCTTTGCAAAAAATTATATTTTTCCCTCTTTATAAGGCTCAAATTTACGTTTAATGCATGGATATTCTTGTAACTGCTCTTGGTCATGTCCGAATTGCGAATACTTGATTTTTCCAAGTAAACTTCATTAGCACCAAAACAAGGCTTTTGAAATAATTCTTTAACATAAAATTCTAATTGACATTTATAAAGGAAAGGGATTGCTTTAGTAACTGTAAACATCCAATTTGAAGTTTTTGTTGCATTATCAGAATAATAATCCAATAAATATTTAACTATAACTGTATCTTTACGATATCCTCCTTTTGTGCATTCGATAGCAATCTCTAGATCGGTGAATTCTTTGTCATTTCCATTCCAAGACTTTATTCTTGGGGTATGCAAATGTTTACTATTCTTTCCATCATCAGATTCAAGAGATAAAATATTCTTGATCGTTGTTACGCGATTACCACGAATAAGGTTGGCCATAACATCATATCGAATATCCAACATCCTCCATAAACCGCATTTTTTAATTAAACATTTATTTATAATGTATTCGGTTTGCTGTACCAAATTTTCAAATTGATGTTGTCTTTTTGGACCCGAAGGTTCATTCTTTATCTTATCAAGGAATTCCAATGCTTCACATGCGGCTATAGGATAATTAACCTTTTCAGGCCATTCGATTTTAATTGATTCGGGTTTGGGAGAAATTCCAGAAGGGATAAGTAACGTTAAAGAGAATTCCTTGTGACCAACTGCCAAAGATTGAATTTCCATTTTATTATGTTTATCTGTTTCATAATGAGTCCAAATAAATTCAAGAGCCCTTGTAGATGAAGACCCAGCGGTCCCTCCCCTTCTTTTACGCCATACTTGAACGGTGGATTTCCCAATGATTAATTGAATGGATTTCTTATCATCAAGATAAGCAGAGATACGTTTATAACGGTTGTCATGTACCCAAGGTTCAGAATTATAAATTATAACTTTACTATATTCGGTTTTGAAGTCCAAAAGGTTTCCAGCGGAATCATAAACGTAATGATAATCCATTGCTGAGGAGGAAGAAGCATGAAATTTATCAAGAGAAATTGATTTTCCCATAAAATCATTCACGGGATTCAATAACCTAATTATTTCTGACTCTTTTAATATCGAAATGATATCTCCGCGTTCAGTGATGGTAAAAATATTCCCAGCAGCATTAGCTAAATTTTCACGTTTTTCGGGAAAGAATGGAAATGTGTCATCAACTTTTCTGACACAATAATCCGAGCTGCTAAATAGATCCCAAACCACAATGACAAGTGTAATGTCATCTCCCTCAACTTCATTATACCTTTCTTCCTCAATGACAAGCAATAATTGATTATCATCTTGAATGAAATCAAAAAAGCGTATTCGACGAAAATTCTTCTCTTTGAATTTCTTTGTGGTAACCTCCAAACCATTTTCCATTAGGTAGATGGTAATGCTATTTGTACCACGACAATAAGCAAATAGAGATTCGTTTTTCGAGATGGCGAAACAAGGTGAACCTTTTCCGATAACCGAAGCAGCAGATTCTTCACGTTTTTGAAAAGTATTTTCTAATGAATTGGTTTCCAATTTATACATTTCAACAGTTTGTACTTTGTTCTTATAAGTTTCCACAACAAAACGATCCTTTACCAAACTTTGCAGAATATAATGAGTACAAGTCTGATCATTCGGTAACCTTTGCATTTCCAAAGAGAATTTTTGTGGAAAATGAAATTCCTCAATTGATTTGTTAGAAAAAAAGAGATTTGTCCAGCCATTTTCATACAATCCATCCTCATTATAAATGATTTCCCTGATTGTCTCATGCTCTATGAAGAATTTAGTGATGCCAAGCGCATTAATAAGAACCAATTGAGATTTATTATCATCATTGTTATCCAAGAATTTGACTATACCGCCCATTTTATTAATTGAAGAGGAAACTCTTGAATGCTGCGTACAAGAAATGATCCATGTAGACGAGTCAGCACGTTTATTCATATCATCATACATGTAAACGTTCTCAACTTCATCATCTGGAGTTTGATTCTTACATTTCATATCATCATCATCAAAACAAGATACAGCAATCAATACATCATCAGTTCCATCTGTCAAGGTAAATTCATTAGACACCGTTAAACTCCAATTTATTTTTGTCGAGGGCTTATCGTAACGTTTAAATTCATCATAATTTATGGTGTAAAATTTTGATAAATTATCATGTTTACATAATTTTAATTGATGAGTCGAGGTATTCAATGTTACTATCTGAGTACCATTCGGACTTATAGCAATGTATTGATAACCATTATACGAGCTTCTCTTGATGGAACTTTTTGAGCCAAAGGAAGAGATCGATCCAGATTCTGCTTTCTCTTCGTCGCTAAATAAATAGGAATGGGATTTTTGAAATGCCGACATTATTAAATTGATTTATTAAGATTAAAGGAATGTAAGTTTTTTTTTTTTTTTTAAACCCTTCAAAGAATTTTTCTTTTTTTAAAAAAAAAAAAATGAAATGAAATAAATGAAAATTCTTTATATTTGTTTATACAGCAATTTAAAAATTTTATTGGACCCCATTTTCAACTTTTTTAAAAAAAGTTCGGGTTCGGATTTGTCATGATAATTCACTCAAATGCACTCTATAATAGACATTATTAGCTGAAACACGACATGATTAGTTTCTTTATTGTTTTTTACATGTATAGAATATTGGAGAGCATGGTTGTACAAAATATTTTTTATAATATAAATAAACATGTGCGATATTAATAAATCTTACACATGATTAGAATTTGTTTGTTTTTACTTTTAAATTTCTATTCATAATTAACTATCATAATCCTAAGGATATGTCGGATTTAGTATTGATTTGTGGATTCTTTTATTTCTTTTATTTCTCTTATTACAATAAAATGGCAAAAAAAAACCAGAAGTCCTAATTAGTAACGTGTGTTACATTTATGTTTATATGAAATGCTTTGGAGTCTTTAATTTTCCTTTTTTATTCACGTCATACCAAAAAAAGTCATCTAAATTTTTAGGTTTGAAAATAAATTATGTTGGCAAATGAAACGCTGCTAAGCCACAATCTCAATTTCGTATTTTGCCGACATTTTTGGAGGTTTTGAACCTGTTACTTTCAGATACCCAATCAAATTCATTTTTGGATGAAACAACGGAAATTCCGCTGGATGCAAATTCCCCTTAACGAGACGTTTTCTGTTGGGATTAGATCCTGATTTTTCCTTCCATATAAGTCCTGGAAATCTAAATAATTCTGCATATAAAATTGATGACCTCAATTATGGACACGTTTTTTTTTCTTTTTGGTCAGATATTATAGAACGTTATCAAGGTCAGAAGTTTAAAGTTAAATCACAACAATATATTGTAAATCTCCCGATTCTGAGGTACAAAATATTTCTTTTTTGAGCATTTAGTATTTACAAATTCTACAAATTCTTGTTCCCAAAGTACAAAAAAACAAACAAACAAATTGATGCTAAACCGTACTTGTTCAAGAAATTCCACTTTGTATTTTTGGAAGTTTGAATATTATCCAAAATTTCTATTCAGATTGGCATACTTTAATTTATTATTTTGTCAAAGTAATCATGTGGGAGGTCACATTATATTATTTTAGGCAAAAAGAATCGAGAGTTTGAGCCGACTATGCAGATAAATTAATAAATTAATAATTTGGTGATCAAATTGACGCAATTTTTTTTAATTAATATCTTAAATTTTTACCCCAAAAAGCTTTTATTCAGACATATTAAAATTCTAGAACTAATTAATCAATAGGAAGAAAGAATTTATAATAATTTCTAAATTTAAATATAATATTTTTTTTTTTTTGTTATGTTCAGATTTTGATCATATGTTACATGCTTCCTTTAATTCAAAATTATTATTTCATTTCTACTAAATAAAACTCAGGTTTATTGTCAAAAGAAATAGTCCAACTGTGAAAATTATTTCATCTACCAAATATTTTCTTCTTATAATTATAAAATATGTTTGAAAAGGAAAAACTACTACATTACGACACATAAAATACGTAATGAACAATCTCTTTAAAAAAAAAAGAAAAGGAATCTCGAGTTCTTGTGCATAGTGATATCGTCCTAATTGGTCGTCGAGGTTTTCCTTCCAATAACTGAATAGGTTGATTCGTCCTAGTAAACATCATTAACGATATAAATTTTTAGATGAATCTGCTGATTCTATTATCTTTTTTTTTTTTAATATAAATTTTGTAACAAATGCTCGATATGCTGGTAATTGTAATTTATTCAATTTTTTTTTTATTAAAAAATAAAAATAGAAATAATTACTGAAGCACAAACAAACCAAATGATTATTTCTTCAAATAAATAAATAATAATATAATAATAGATTAAAGGTTCTAATTATGATAATTTTACCTAAAAAAAAAATTAGTGCTTATTCAAGTGAGTAGGGTTCCTATTCGCTGGACTTAATATTTTATTTAACGTATGATTTTATTATAATTATATTTAACGTTTCGGGTAATGTTTTCGATTTAATGCTATATAAAAATTGCTATTGGATTACATTGTTCATTGATCATTCAAAAATAGAGGATTCAAGCGCGAATCTATAAGAATTTTTTAATTCCAATTAGAGTTAAATTAATTTCTCACTTTGATTATTAGAATAATCTATATATAGATGATTTTATAAATTAATAACCAAAGCAAATGAGATTCATATTTAATAAAAAGATCTTTCCTAATCCCTGATCACCAGCGACGTCTCTGTCTCGGTGCGTTTACCTTGTAAAACGAGCAAATTTATCGTTATATTTATTTATTTATTAAAGCAATATGGGATACTTATATGACCTTTCTAACAACGAAAGTAATAAATAACGCAAAATAACTTTAAAATGAGGAAAGTATACGTTAAATTTCTGGTAGGTTATTCTTTATCCCTCGAACCTACATTATTTCTAAAATGTTTGTAATTTTGCTATACATTGTTCTAATATTCCTCGTATTCTAATTAATCTTTTTTTTTTAATAATGTCTTATTATAGTCTGGAAATGAGCCTTGGGAAATCAATTATACGTAGAGTAGTGGCATTTTCATGCGCCCCGCGTAATTAGCAAATGAAAATCCCATATTACATAATAATCAAAATAATCCCCACTATCGAATTACCCTGTATTTATTTTATTTCAGTCTTTTAACGGATTCTGTATCCTAGTTGTCGTTTTTGAAAGCAAGATACCAGCATATTGCAATTCAAGTAAATAAATTAACAATAATTTCGAAAAACTTGGCCAAGTATTAAAATCGGAGTTTATGCATTTATTTCGAAGGTATCATCGAATATAATTTTTCTAGGAACCGAATGAGCTGCAAAAGGATAATCACGTCGTTCGTGACAAAAAAAAAAAAAAATCATAGCATCACTAATTAAACTCGAATCCTGAATTTATAACCTCGAAATATTTTTTAGATGCCAGCAAAATTTTTGCGTCTCCAAAAAATTGAAAATTCCATATAATGAAGATGATTTGGAAATGGTAGCATTATCTATATGTGAGACTTATTGTCATAGTTTGATTAATTATAGAATATTTAGATTTAAGATATTTCATTCAATAAAATTATAATCAATTGCAAAGCATAAGGGTTTAGAACTGAAGGTTGGAGGTATTTCTGGTGAGAAATTAATGCTACGTTTAAAGATGAAATCCAATCTTTAATTTCAGGTATGAATGAATTTGCGGGGAAACTATTAAATATTCTTTTATATACCAAATATAATTTTAGGACGAGATACAGTATGTTCATGAATGAAATTACTAGGTTAACAGGAATTAAACAAACTAAAACCCGAACAATCAAATTTATTCGAAGAATATATCATACTGATTTTATTTACATAAAAAATTTTTATAACAAATTTGATTTTTTACATTTTGTAATTAGACAAGTCATCATCCAATAACGTCCAAATTTCTTCATTTGGAATATATTCCTCTAGTCTTACCAAGATAGAATAAAGTATAAAATGGTGTTCATGATCTATTGTTGATATTTCTTTGCTTAATTCAAAAAGCTTTAATAATCTCTTTATAATCTAAAAACAAACATGCATATATAAATCAATACATATGAAAGGGAAAAAAAACCACTCTAAATTATAAGGATAACATACCTGTGTTTGAACGATGTCAATTTCGTTATCTGGTGAATTCTCAAATTCTCTTGGTATTAAGGATGCTACCTTTTTTACGTCAACATTTTGCATAACCTTCTCAAATCTTTCATCCTGTAATTCATAATATTTAAGAGGAAGAACTTTATCCGTATATTTAACCTGGTTCGGAAATTGATATTCCTCCCAACTTAAATTCACTAATCCGTTTAATGCCACTTTAATACCATAATCTAATAAAAATTGTCCCTCTCTTGATATGCCTGTTACAACCAAAATGGCATTTAAAGTTCTTACTAACCAATCTAACTTCATCTTTTTCTTGGCATTATTACTAGATCCCATGGGTTTAAAGATATGATTACGAATAGCATGAAGGATCCATGAAAATACTAAATCGACACTTTTAAAACCTTCCGCTATTGAAATAATACCGAATGTGCTCAAACAATCTTCCAACGCTCGTGTTAAATATATGATTGCATCTACACGTCCTAGTTCTGACATAGTACTTATAGTAACTGCATATTTTTTAAGTTCATTCTCATCCAATTTAAAATTATCCTTGGGTCGAAAAGTACTTGGGAAATGGTCCAAATCGTCAATAGTAAATATGCAAGTTTGCGTTGCTAATCGAGTAATGTATACTTGCGTTTTGGAAGTTGGAGGTGGTATTCCATGATAAACATTCCGTAGTAAAACAAGAAGCTCTTGTCGAAGTGTATTCAATGACTCGGCGTATGATGCATTATCTGAAGACATATAATCGCTCATTATTGTGAGGAAATCAATTTGTAATTCCTAAATTTTAAAATTTGGATTAAAAATATCAATAAATATTTTTTAAAATTCATTCGTAATACATATTTATATTATCATACCTCAATTTTAGGGTCCACCCGTTTTTCAATATCATCAAATAAACTTTTCACCATACCACTTACGATCTCGTATACTCTAGAATCAGGCACAACTACTTTTTTCGCCATATTTTCAATACCACGCTTTCGAATAACTTTTGTATCTTTTTGATCGTCTACTTTAGCTTTATTTTTCACAAATCCATAGAGTTCTAAAATTTTACAAAGTCCCTTATTAACAAGCAATTTTTTATATTCCATTTTATAAGTTTCATCTCCCCTTTCATGTAAAATCTTAGGAAATTTCATCAATACATATATAAGAAACTCCATTAACGAAGTGGAATAATCACAATGTCGAG